ATGAAGTCTAATGGTTGTTTAAGGAAAGGATTTTGAAGGAAAAAAAAACCTATATTGACCACCATAAACTACAACACATTAAGAAAATATTATTTTTCTCAAGTTTATTTAATTCACTACTATCTTTTGGCTGTTATATTCTATCAATAAGCGCATGACACAATTTGAATAGGGATCTCTTGGACCACAGGAGTCCAAGAGATTGTGGTCACTCACCGTTGGATGTTAATCTAACAGTTCAAAAAAGTTTCTTAAAAAGAGTGCAAGAATGAGTGAACCGTTGAATTTACATCTAACGGAATGACCACAAATCTCTTGGACCCCTGTAGTCCAAGAGATCGGGATTGCACCTTGATAATATGTATTTTTTGGTTGCATTTAATATGCATTTGTCTTATGTTAAATTTATTTATATTTTTGGTTTATATGATTTAATGTACACTTTTTATTTATAGAAAAATTGTAGAAACACTACTAAAAAAAATGAAATAGACGACGGTAATCCACCGTCGTTGTGATGCTTTGAAAACCGTCGTTAAATCGACCGCCATCTTTCGAAGTATCAAACTACGACGGCTTTTCACCGTCGTCGTCTATCTGTAAAGACGACCTTTTTTTACCAAAAATCGTCGTTGTTATTATGTAAAGACGACGGTCTGTTGTTAAAAACCGTCGTTGTTTATGTGTAAAGACGACGGTTTATACAAAATTGTCGTTATTTATGGGTAAAGACGACGGTTTTCATTTAAAAGACGACAGTATTTTGTTAAAACCGTCATCATCTATGTGTAAAGACGTCGGTATTTTGCTAAAAAGCGTCATTGATTGTATATAAAGATAATGGTATTGTGTTCAAAACGGTCATTGATTATATGTACAAATGACGGTTTTTTCAAAAAAAACCATCATTTTATTATCTTTAAATCTGTTGTCTAATAAGTTCCCAAGCTATTACATTTTAATTTTTTATTTCCTATGATTCTATACAACTATTTTAACTAGAAAACCAATTATAATACTTCATTAACGAATATACACTCAACCCAGCGTGTTTTAAAAGACGACGTTTGTTCACTCTCAAGCAGCCTAGAGTGTTTTGAAAATTGAGACAACCCAACTTGATTTTAGTGGTGTATAAGGTGACATATAACGATGGTTTTGTAAACCCGTCTTCTTTTAAAACACGACGACGGTTTTAAGCTATATTGTCGTTTATTTTGTGTCGTGGTTTCATGAATTTCCAGTAGTGAAACCATAAGTTTAAATAAAAATCAATTAATTCAGCCTCCATTACGATTTCTTCCTATTTGACTTTCTCCTCCATCTTGGCTCACCATAATTTTTGATTGATCAATCTTGTAACCAAACCTTAACAAATATAGATCATATTCAAAAGGAAAGAATTGTTTCACAAGAAGTCTCTTCATCCTACGCCAAAAAGCGATAGGAATTTTACCTTGTTGCTTCCTAGATTTTTGCATATTATCCTGCCGAGTGGAGTATGATTCACAACCTTGTTAAGCGATATTATTTTCGTGATATGATTACCATGATGCAGGACTGGTAAAAAAAACTCCATGGTGACTGGTCGGATTTCGTCAGAGAGCAGCAAACGTGGAACAAAGAACTGATGACCGGTCGAGTTGATCAACCATCCTTAATCCCTTTTCTAACATTTGCTCCCCAACATTTCTAGCAACAATCATCTCGATTGTAATAGTAGCGTAGGCCCATTCTACATCAATGCAAGCTCTAATCCACCTTCAAAAACCACAAGAAACTCCAAAACCTTCAACAAAAGGATGGCACACTAAAAGAACCTCAACTCTTACAAAAAATTGAAAAGAGAAATCGCCACTAAAAGGAATTGAAAAGAGAGCACAGAACAAGTGTTGAGCGAGAGACTTGAAAAGAGGTTAAGTATTCACTTAGGAAGCTGAGAGAGAAAAAGAAACGAGCAAAAGGAAAGGAAGGGAAAGGACGCTATTGAATCTTTATGTTTGTGCGAGCTGTGTGAAATCGACATACGAAATGGATAAGATAAGAACAGTGCTCAAAGCGTGAAATGCAAAACAGAGAAGATGAGCAAACTGAATTTGGGCCTCTTGATTGAGCTTTTTCTAAAGCAAAACATAAAACCCAATCAAACGCAAAACAAAAAATACTTCATTTATCACATCCTTATTAGTAAAACATTATATCTGAAACAAGAAAGGGGCAAACCCCAAATTGCAGTAGTGAGAAATATAGACTGTGAACCTTATACAACTCAAAACGCACGTAAAAATATAAACAAAAGAAGCCTCACTCCTGCAACGTATGAATTGCCATCCTCATGTTCATTTGTTCTGCCACCCTTTCTTATGATATTTAAGATCGATCCCATTTTTATGCCCTATGCCTTTACTTTCTCTTTGCCTTGTCTTTGTCGGGTTTTCTCTTTGCCTTGTCTTTGTCGGCCTTTCTCTTTGCCTTCTCGTTCTCCTTTCTCTTTGCCTTGTCTTTGTCCGCCTTTGCCTTCTCGTTCTCCTTTCTTTGCCTTCTCCTTCTCCTCAGTTCTTTTTTTTTTTTGGGTCGAACTTCTCCTCTGTTGAAAATTGAAATTGAAGTTGAAACGAACGATGGCTATCCCTCCTTTGGTGGATGAGAGAAAAATAACGAGAGAACTTTGTAAGAAATAGAAAATAATAAAAATAAAGGAAAAAGAAAAATGGTGTACGGGAGAGTGAGAAAATGGATGAAAGAAAAAGCATAGTTTTTCTGCTTAATGCAGGGCATGCGATGATGCTTATAAAAGGCACCAACCTTGTACGTTTATGTCATCCTCAAGAAAAAACTTAAAAGGGTTTTCTAGGTCAGAAAACAAAAGGGAGTTGGTCGAGGGAGAATTTAATAGAGGGTATATCTCTTGGGTGTGAGTGTGATATTCACAGGTTTGAGAGAGGGTGTATGATGTTGGATACGGGCTCGGGTTGGGTTATAGGACTCTTGAACGGTTTCTGTATCATATCGTCATATCAGTTTATTTTCAATACGGTCAATTGACCGTATTGAAAATAACAAGTCTATGAGTAATGATACAGAAACCGTTCAAGAGTCCTATAACCCAACCCGAGCCCGTATCCAACATCATACACCCTCTCTCAAACCTGTGAATATCACACTCACACCCAAGAGATATACCCTCTATTAAAGGGAGTTTCACTAAAACACCCAAAATGGAGGTTGAAATTATAAAAAAACCCAACACCCAAAACACTTTATAAACACACCCAAAACCCATCATTACACACACTCAAAACCCATTTATAAACACACCCAAAAAGTTGACTTTGGGGTTGATTTTGGGTGTGTTTCTATGTTTAAATAGTACTTGAGTTTTTTTATAAATACATGTCTATGATTGGGTTTATTTATAAATTTGTATTTTAATTAAAGCAATTTTCACAAAACAGGTTTTACGAACTACCTATTTTGTTTGCGATATCCACTCCAACTTTTGCCACGATAGCAGCACCCTTCAGCAACTTAAGACCAGCGGCAAGAAGTTTGCCGACGCCACCTAAATTCAATAATTAAATAACAAAGATGCTTAACCACCGAAATTAAATAACAAAGTTTGCCCACTCATCAGTAATTAAATAACAAAGGTGCTTAACCACCGAAATTCAGAGTACTAATTTTTTTATTTTTTTATTTTATGACAAAAAATTTAGAGAGAAGGACGGCTACCCATCCCAGAATCAGGGCATACTAAGGTTCTTTGAGAACGTTCTTAGCTGCATTCAAGAAAAACTAAACCCGAAATTATTTTGAGATGAAATCATCTCTCCGCCTAAAAAATTGTTTATAGAAAAAACATACACTATTGTGCACCTTTAATTAAGCTACGCAGCATATAGAAGAAAGCCAAGCATTCGAATTCGACCCAAAAAAGAAAAGTCAACTAAGTGAAGAAAAGAGCTGACTAACTTCGCGGAGCTGCTTTCCGACTGCCTTTTCTTGCGGCCTTACGTTCTGCAGAAGATTCCACTGGAATACGTTTGCTTCTGTCGCCAGCCTCAGCGCGTTTGTTCTGCATTAAAAAAATTGCAGAAAACCCATTAATCACACACAACACAAGTGCGTGCATACACAAAGAGAAAACTGAGATTTTAAGCCGGATCAAGTTTGCCGACGAACGTTTGCCATCCTGAGTAGTTTTGGTTGCTTTTTTTTTTTCTTTCTTTCTTGTCAACAACAGAGTCGAAATGTGAGATGGGTGCAAGATCAGGAGAGATATGGTGGCCATGTTAAAGAAACAAAGACCGGTTCTCCATTTCATATAGAATATTTTTATAACTTAGGCCCTTATATTGGGTATAATAACTAATCTCCCTTTTTTTTTTCTTTTTTTTTTGTCATGAACTTGAGTTTTAGGTATGTAATTAGGGTCATTGTTTATGCTAAACGGCGCATATGTACCTTTTGGTTTTCTGCAAGGCTTTTTATCGCAAATGGTCCATGACGTTTGCAAAATTATCACCTCTTGTTCCTAACGTTTTTTTTGTAACACTAATAGTCCTTAAGGTTATCATTTACACATCAAAATGGTCCATGCCATTAGCTTCCGTCAAATTTTCTGTTAAATTGCTGATATGGCACGTGTGTGGAGCCTACACATCCAATGGTATAAAGCCACGTGGCTTTAAATAAAATAAAAATATATTTTAAATATTTTAAAACGTAAATCCATAAAAACAAAAACAAAAATACCTGCACCCTCTGCATTCTCACTCTGCCAGCGCTCTTCCCCCTTGCAGACCCACCTTTTGTCTCTCTCTCCCTCCTCTTCCTCTGTTCTCAATCGGGACTTGGAAGAGCTTAAAGAGCTCTCGACTTCTTCTAACACCAACCCACGAATCTTTCCGTACAATGTGAAGCAGCAATGCTGGGAAAAGGCCGGGAAGATCAGAGGTCGAGACCCAGACCGGTGGCGTCAGGACGCTCTTTGAAACACCATGTTCCGGAAGCTCGTCGGTTGCCCAGGTTGCCTCTGTCATGATTATGATCACATCGTGCCTTACTCTAAGGTAATTCCTCGTTCTCTTTCAAATTCACCATTTTTATGATTTTTTGTGCGTTTCTGTTTGTTGGCCTTGATTCTTTGATTTGTGCTTGGAGTTTTGTGAAGTTGGTTCATTGTGGTTTTGGCTATTAAGGCTCCGTTTAGGATGCATTTGATATATATCTTTCCTTTCTTGTTTGGTGACTTTCCATGGAATCGGATTATTTCTGTTGGTAGCATTCTGTATACAAAGAGATGCATTTTTCCAAGGGGGGGGGGGGGGGAAGGGCGCTGGTAGAGTGAGAATGCAGAAGGTGCAGGTATTTTTGTTTTTGTTTTTATGGATTTAAGTTTTAAAATATATTTTTATTTTATTTAAAGCCACGTGGCTTTATACTATTGGATGTGTGGCACACACGTGCCATGTCAGCAATTTAACAGAAAATTTGACGGAAGCTAACGGCATGGACTATTTTGATGTGTAAATGATAACCTTAAGAACCATTAGTGTCACAAAAAAATGTTAAGGACGAAAGATGATAATTTTGCAAATGTCAGAGACCATTTGTGATAAAAAGCATTTCTGAAAATAATGACAAATTGCCAGGGGGGCCAATTTTGAAGTCCACTTAATACGTCCACATTTGAACAAACTTGATGAGAAATTTTTAAGATTGTCGTCACATGGCATGTCAGGTAGTGTTATAAATTTACTGTTATAAGTTATTTAGTTAGGTTTAATTAGTTTTTAATTAAATAATGCTGACATAGCCATGTAGAGACCAAGTCAAGCTGGAGTCCTAGAATGTAGAAGTTGTGGTTTAGTCTGTTCACCATGTTCAAATTTGCTTCCGTTGCTTAAGGTAGTTGAACTCCACAAAATCTGCACTTGTTGTGTTAGTGGTTATTGTGGAGATTGTTATTTTGTAAGCTTTGTTTTTCAGATATATATAAGAGAGGAAAACTGCAGTATCCTTGTACTGTGAAATACCTTTGTTCAAAGAATCCTTTTACGTTTAAGTTAATTCCAGTTTCTCAATATTCGGTATCAGAGCCCCTTCAGGGCTTGAACAAACTTGAAAAAGGTGAGAGATTGTGTCTTGCAACAGCAAGAAACAATGGCAACTGACAAAGCCACTGAGAGTTTTGTTCAACCAGCGATTCCAAGATTTGATGGTCAATACGACCATTGAGCATGCTGATGGAAAACTTTCTCAGATCAAAGGAATATTGGAATCTTGTGGAATTAGGAATTGACGCCCCAACATAGGGAGTTGTGTTGACTAAACAACAACAAAAGAGGGTTGCTGAATAGAAGCTTAAGGACTTGAAGGTGAAAAACTACCTCTTTCAGGCACTTGATCGATCTATCTTGGAGACTATACTCGAGAAGGAGACCTCCAAACAAATATGGGATTCTTTGAAGAAGAAAGATGAAGGGTCAGAGAGGGTGAAGCGTGCAGTGCTTCAAAGTCTAACAAGAGACTTTGAAACTCTGCAAATGAAATCAGGAGAGTCCATCACTGATTTCTTTGCTAGAACTCTGGGAATAGCAAGCAAGATGAGATCCAATGGTGGCACCAGGGAAGAACTCAAAGTTGTGGAGAAAATTATGAGATCATTGACTCTAAAATTTGATTACATTGTCTGTTCAATTGAAGAGGCAAAGAATGTTGCTGAGTTACGAGTTGATAAACTACAAAGCTCTTTGTTAGTGCATGAACAAAGACTTAATCACACCATTGCTAGTGAAGAACAAACAGCTCTGAAAGCTTCCACATTTTCTGAGCCCTCAAGTTCTGGAGGAGGAAGAGGTGGACGTGGTAGAGGAAGAGGTGGTTGAGGTCATCGAGGTGGGGGACGGTCTAGACATAGAGATGACAGCAAGCAAGGATTGAAATATCAGCCGATACACCGATATATCTACCGATATATCGGTATTTTCAACTATCAACACTGATACTGGGGGGTAAGGCCATATCTTCCCCTGTATTGACGATATATCCTCCGATAAGTGCGATATTCTCGATATTTTGTCTATATCCCCGATATTTTCCAATACCTGTAATAGAACCCAAAAAAAATTCAGAAGTTTTGAAGGCAATTGAAGCAAATTGAAACCCAAAAATTGCTAATCCTTGCCCAGAATACTATAATTTATTAATATGAAGAATCTATGCACAGTCAACTGCCCACATAACTCCAATCCATCTGAAGAGGACATGGCGATCAATTTTGGATCTATGAGCATAGGAACTAGACCTACTATTAACTCAAATGAATCTTATTATGGCTATGGTTATGTCATGTCTGATTATAATGGAACTAGTTATGGAGCTCAAGATTATGAAACAGATTATGGACCTACTAATTGGGTTAATCCTAACTATCCTATATATGAAAGGATAGTAGGGAGCTCGAGAGAGACTTATGTGCACCATGTTCTAACATGGCTTACAAACTGCTCGGGTTACATGACTTGGTATGATTATTGTATGAATTTGGATGGTTGTTCCTCGTTATTTGAACCTCATAGAAGCTCTTCATTTAGGTAGGTGGACACTTATCTAAATTGTAATCCAATGTTTAAACAAACTATGGATTTATGCATGGTTTATTCATTCTAATCAAAATTTTATTTTCAAAATTTTCATTAATGCGCATTACATACCACTTATATTTCATCAATGTATATCTTATTATTAGTAAATTTTGAGTTTTATTTGTTCAATACATTCATTGATAATGTACATAACATCCATGAAAGTTTTACACCAAAATTATGTGTTTCAATGCCTATATCTGTTCTTTTTGTTGATTTTTCCGAATACCTAAAACGATAACGATATATCCCTCGAAATATCTGTAAATTGGAGGCCTGATATTATCTGCGCAGCCGATAATCCTCGACAACAAGTCATCTCATGTTTTCAAAAGAGATGATGACTCTGAAGAAAAAGGAGCATACCACTTTGACAAGTCAAAAGTGGAGTGCTATAGATTTGGAAATTTTGGGCACTACAAGAATGAGTGCTACACAAAGTTACCAAAAGAAAAAGGAGAAAAGTCATGGAGAAAAAGAAGGAGGAAGTGACACTTTTGATGGGCTTTCAAGCATTGACAGAGACTGATCAGGAGAGATGGTATGTGGACACAGGTTGTAGCAATCACACGAGTGGATGTAAGTCTTCCTTTATTAATTTGGATGAAAGCTTTTGTTGTGATTTTAGACAACTTGAAAAATGGAGATTATAAAGATTAGTCTAAACACAAATTATACTCGCAAGTGCACAAGGTCAATCGTAATATACTATGGCAAATACGAGGTCATTCCCACGAGGATTGAGTTCAACTTCCAATTAGTCTAACCTAATTTACTTTACAAAATACTTTAACTACTCTAATTATATAAACAAGAAATTAAACACGTAGCATACTCACATAAACACAAAAGGAGTTTTTGAAAGAATGATTTAATTAACAACGAAATTAAAAGACAAAATAGTAGAAAGTCACGAAACACAAGATGAGAAATTCAAATTGATAAAAGCACTAGGACAATGAATTCACCACTAGTAATCCGATCTAGCCTCTTATTCACCTACCTATTTACTAACCATTTGATGTCGCATTTTTCATGAATTACCTATGGTATTTAGGCTAACTCGTATATTCCCACTTGCAATTCGCCTATGGTATTTAGGTCAAATATCAACACATAGAAACTCATTAAGATCAGTGAAAACCTCGAATAAGCATGCAAACCCTAGGAGTATGGTATTTACCCTAGACGAATTACAAATCATAATCACAAGAAGCAAGCCTCAAATTAAGTATGGTATTTACTCTAATTTGCATTCGATTAACTCAATTAAAAGTCTAGATGGTGATCAAGCATCAAGATAATCAACCAAGTTATTAAGCACAGTGATTAAGAATCCAACATCAAATAACAATCAATAGATAGGTAAAATAAGAAAACTAGATTATCATACTAGGGCTACATCATGCCCTATCAAGAGAAAATTAGTTACACATAATCATAAAATTCGATATAAACAAAAAAATAAGGAAGAAATAATCAAACTTAGCCAATTGCGGTACTCTTCTAGTGTCAACAATTTCTCCTCGTCTTTTCGTCCCCTCAAGGGAGTTGTTTCTCATGCTTAAATAAACGCCCCACGTCTATTTTTTAAAAATTTAGCCCTACATGGTTGGAGATGGACAAATTTAGCCATGCACTATTCTTTAAAAAATTAATATTTTGGGGGGCTAAATTTTTAGCCCTGGACTACATTTAGCCCTATGGCTGGAGATGGCCTAATAAGTCCTTTTTAAATCAAATTCTCTTACAAAAATTAAGTATAAAGAGTACATAAATGTGTAAATTTATGGACTTATCAAATACAAACAACTTAGATTTTGCTAGTTCTCGAGCAAAACAAAACGAAAAGTAAAAAAAAAAGAACAAAGACTCAATGCACGCAAGCGATCGACTAACTTCCCAATATTGATCTCAGAGATAATCAGCAACTGTTAACTAACTTCCAAGAAATATGCAACAATAACTCAAAACATTATTAAGGGGTTAACCAAACTTTAATTGAACAACTTGGATGTAGTATGTGAAATAGCCAACAACCCACGACTTAAGCTTTACACAAGTTAAATAACCAAATAAGAACAAACTTCAACTTCAAATCTCATCAAGGATATTCACTCCAATAAAAGCACTCGAAATTTGACTAGTTATTGTCACTCATAAATATGTGAGAGGAATCAAAGCAATAGGATGTACTCACATAATTGAAATAAAGGCACATGACATAGATAAAAGATCTCATGGAAAGATACCGCATACTTGAAAACATTTAAACTATTCGACCATAGTCCTTCCACACCTATTCTCCACATGAGAAACCACACTTCTCCTTGGATCAAGTAGGACTTTCACTAAGGTTGTAATGGGGCTTAGGGTGATGGGTGAAGCAAGTAAAAGATATGGATGAACAAATTCTAAGGAATTCATTGAGCTTTCCATGAGAATTATGACATCTTGCAATTTGAGCACGAAACTTCATACTAATACTGTCTTGAATTTTTTTTTTTTTTTTTTTTGTTTCACTTTGTTTTTTCCCTAACTCCATTAGCTTTCTAATCAACCCATGTAGCGAGTGTTAGGCCAGTGACTTCCAGGCTAGATAGCTTTAGGGCATTAAATGTAAAACACTCCTAGTGCTTAATAACTCGAGTTGAAAAGGCTTCGAAATTAGTTTTTTTTGTTTTGTTGAAATAGTATCCCTTACTTTCCACATGATTGAACAATTTGTGCAAATCTCCCTTAAAAACGAAAATACTCTACAAAACTCCTTAGAAAGGTATATGATAAACATATGATAGATTAAGGTGAGGAGAATTGGGTAAAGAATGAAAAAGGCTTACATAAAAAGCACAAGGGGGTTAACTAGGGATAAAAGTGATATGGGTTGTCTTGAAGAGCTCAAACGAAAGAAACAAGCCCTATATCACTTCCTAGAATCCATGTGGTTCTTGAAATATGCCTAAAATAGATAATGAAAGTAGTTCTAGCAAACAGTTTAAACATCTTCAAGTATTTGACCAAAACAAAGAATAATGAGATCACAATGACGTAGACAAAAAAAATATTATTGAATATCATATAACACTCAAGAAATGAAGGCATAGGCTCAAAAATTCACATAATGAGGGTTATATAAGTTACACTAGCTCTTATTTAGCCATTTAAATAATGTGAAATCCCCAATCGAAACTCATATTAATATGGCTATGTGCATAAGGATTTCCCAAGTCTAATCACAAAAATAGGGTTAACACAAAGATAATGTAAAGACTTAGTGTCACGCTCAAAACTTCTTGAAAGTTAATTGCAAATAAAATTCAATCTCATCATAGAATTGGGAAGTGACTACCACAAACAAATAAAAACAAGACCCTAAGTAAAGGAAAATATTTTTGGGTTTTATGACATTTTTCAGATTTTTTTTTACTTATTTATTATTTTTTAAAAGAAAAAAAAAGAAAATAAATATAAATAAATAAAATAAATAAATAAAAACTGATTAAATAAAAACCAAAAGTTGAAAAGAATCGAAAATCAATAAACAAAACTGTAGTTCTAACCCGGGCGCAAAGAATTACATTTATCTCACAAAATACTTGGCCAAACTTCACGTTCTTTATATGGTTGCCATACTATATTACATTTGACCTTGTGCACTCACGAGTATAATTTGTGTTTAGACTAATCTTTATAATCTCCATTTTTCAGGTTGTCTAAAATCACAACAAGTTTTTGATGTCATCTACTATGCAAGGTTCTGAGCAAGTTCTTCAAGTTAATTTGTTTCAGCAACCTCGGAATGATCCATATTCGAAAACCTATAATTCGGGGTGGTGTAACCACCCAAATTTTCATGGAGCAACCAACAACAACAAGCTAACTCTACTCGTCCAATTCATCACCAAGGGCAACCTTCAAGTGAACCTAAGAAACCAGCGTTTGAAGACTTAATTGCTCAGTTTGTACAGACTTCTCAACAAAATCAAAATACTATGCAAGTGTCCATCAATAAATTAGAAACTCAAGGAGGCCAACTTGCAACTATTATGCATGATAGAGTGCAAGGCACATTCCCAAGCCAACCTGAAATTAATCCCCAAAATTATGAGCATGCCAAGGCTATTAGAACGCTGCGGAGTGGAAAATCTTATGGTCCACAAGAGAATGGTGCACCAAATGCTGGCCACGCTAAAGATTATGTCAAGAAAAGCGGTGAAGATGTGGATATTACTTCTAACAAG